AGAAGAGAGCGCGCGCCCCCGCCTGCCAGCCTGGGTCTCTTTCTCTGTGTGTGCCAGCAGAGGGCGCTCCAGCCCGGGAACCCGAGGCGTCCGCCTTTGCACGTGTGGACGCGCGTTCCGCGGGGCTTGCGCGTTCTGGGTTGCTCCTGCCCCCTTCGTGGGGGTGGTACATAGGGAGAGTTTCCAGAAAGGGGGTCCCCCCTAATGGGAGAGAGAGCCGGCTTGACTCCCTCGGGGACCCCCCCCCCACTTCCAAGATCCGTTCCATGTATGTTTTATGGATTGGCTATATACTTTTGAACTGCATTTTGTGTGTTTTGGCCACATGGTTTGTTTTGTGAATTGTTTGTACAGGTATATTGTTTTAACTGTATTTTGTAAGTTTTAGCCATGGATATGTTTAATGGGCTGGTCACCTGACCGTAATAAATTCTAATTCAGACCAGTTCCCATAAGTTACTTGAACCTCCACCACCCTCACAACTACAGTTTCTTTCCCAATTCCTTTTTTTTTAGGTCATCGTTCCGGCCTGGAAATTATGTTTCCCTGGGCTGTCATGTCTGAATGGGCTGTAGAAATTTGCGATATATTTCTTTCCATTTACTAATCTCTCTTCCCCAAGAGTTTTTGAGAATTGCCATTTTTCTATATAGAAACTCTTCAGGCTTTTTGGTCAGGGAGCAACATTTTCTCCTCAGGTGTTTTGCATTTAGGCCAAACCTAGAATACTGTACACTATTTTCCTATAAACCTCAAAATCTCTAGCTTGCTCCAGAGGCATCATCTGAGAGTAAAGCTCAGCGAAGTCTCCACTTATTTGTGATCTCAACACTATCATCCTTTCATCATCTTTAATCTCAGAATCCCAAATGAAATCAGGAAAGATTCAGGGTAATCTCCTTTTCTATATTGGGGAAATTTTTTTAGATTGATTTTTGAGAGATTTCCCTCACTAGAATTGTTGTGATTATTAATTGTTATTTTGAGCAGCTACAGTATTTCCGTTTCATCTGTATTTGAAATTCCATTTGTCTGCCCCTCAGCCTTCTCTCCCTCCTTAATCTCTTAATTCCCTGAGCTGTATGTAGTTCGGGAACTTTCTCTTCAGTCCTAGCTGTAATTTCTAATTCCCTTAAGTTTATATTCTTTTTCCAACTTCCATTTTTAAACTCTGAGAGCTTTATTATTTATTTATTTATTTTTTATTTACAATATTTTTTAGCTGCACTATTACCAGTGTCTCTCTCTCTGAGGCATTTTCCTCCTCCATCTCCTCCTGTTCCCCTGGAGCTACGTAGAGGGTCTCCGTTTCCCTCCATTTCCTGAGGGAAACTTTGTGCCTCACGACTCCCCTTTCTGGCTCCGTTTGGGTGGCGGGTTCAAGTCAGAGTGAATTGAGTCTCAAGCATCTGTTCTGCTTTTCAAAAGGACCCATCTTTCTGCTCTTAATTTCTGCAACTGTGTTGCATCGCTTCCCTCACACAACCTTTTTAGTTACTGTGTGTGTCTGAGCTACTCTTCCTCTCAGACCCCAAAATAATATTATTTTTCAAGCCTCTGCTTTGCTTTCACCTCAGATCCGCTCCGACTCTGGCTTTCCACTTTTTATCCAACCCTGCTCCCTTATCTCTCAGAGCCTTCCAAATCCTGAGGTAAATAAAAAAGAATTTTTCCTTCAGAGTCGGTTTCCTCTCTTTTAGTTCCCCCCCCTTCAG